GGGTAGGTCAACAACAACAGTTTATTTTATTGGTACTCGATCAGTCTTGCCTTAGCCAAAATCTAAAGCTTAATGATTACAGGATCTAATTGCTTATATGATGACGGGACAAAATAACATTCATATACTCCTCAGCAAAGGCAAGAAAGCTGGCATTCGTGCACGCACACACGCGCGCACACACACACACGCACACACACACAGCCTCTTAAACATTTGCAAACCACCCCTTGTTATATCTTAACCTTGACTGTACAACACCCACATTTACACTAACAATGCAATAGAAGTAATTACCCACTTAACCCCTCATTATGGAGGAGAGACAAAACGAGAGAGAGAGTGTGGAACAGCACTTGACATTTACTGGCTATTATTTTCATTAACCTTACATTAACGTCTGAGTGCCATTTAAGTGTCAACTCAATGTATGACTTCCAGATGCTTTATTGCATCGACTCATTGCCAGTGTGTACGAAAGGGAACATAACAGTGACTCTGCTTTGCATTGCTTCTACTTCCTTCCATCTGTTTTAATGTCACTCGTACAATGTCAGGTACAATGTTACCTCCCAAACTCCATACTGCCATCCTAAATAATATGTAGAAATACTACATCAGCCTCCAACAAGGAAAGAGCCCCACAGACCACTTTAATCTGTTGCTTTCTCTTTAAACATTCTATCCCTCGGTTTATGATGAAATGAATTTTAACCCAGCAGTTCCCTTGTCCTCCATATATACATACACTGCAGGATTACAGAATTGTTGAGAACAATAATAAAAAAAAAACAACTTTATTGTATATATCAACCTAAACAGTTGCAGTTAATGAGTATCAGGTAAAATAGTAAAACTTCAAAGTTTTAAACAAGCAAAGTTTAAAACAGTAAAGTTGGCCCACTCAGTTGGCTCGCATCTGCATTGGAGATTGGAGATGGCCACCCACTAACTCTAGCTAGCTAGCTTAATAGGGTGTAGAGAACAAAAATCACAAATCTGTGTATTTTTATTACCCGACCTGTTCTCCATGTACACTATATGGCCAAAAGTTCGTGGACACCTGACCATCACACCTATAAGTGGTTCTTCCCCAAACTGTTGCCACAAAGTTGGAAGAATGTATAGAATATCTCATCATGCTGTAGAATTACAATTTCCCTTCACTGGAATTAAGAGGCCCAAACCTGTTCAGGCATGACAGTGCCCCCATGCATAAAGCAAGCTCCATGAAGACATGGTTTGCCAAGGTTGGAGTGGAAGAACTCCAGTGGCCTGCACAGAGCCCTGACCTCAACCCCATTAAATACCCTTGGGATGAACTGGAATGCTGACTGCGCCCCAGGCTTCCTTGTCTGACATCAGTGCCTGACTTCACTAATGCAGGGGGCAGTCGTGGCCTATTGGTTAGTCTCGGTGAACCTGAAGGTCGTGGGTTTGAGTCTCAGGTCCGGCAGGGATTGTAGGTGGGGGGAGTGAATGACCAGCGCTCTCTCCCACCCTTAATACCACGACTGAGGTGAGACCCTTGAGCAAGGCACCGAACCCCCAACTGCTCCCCGGGCGCCGCAGCAAAAAAAAAAAAAAGGCTGCCTACTGCTCCGGGTGTGTGTTAACGGTGTGTGTGTGTGTTCACTACTGTGTGTGCACTTGGATGGGTTAAATGCAGAGCACAAATTCTGAGTATACTTGGCTACACCATACTTGGCTACACTTCACTTCACTCTTGTGGCTGAATGGACAAATCCCGACAGCCACACTCCAAAATCTAGTGGAAAGCTTTCCCAGAAGAGTGGAGGTTATTACAACAGCAAAGGGGGACTAAATCTGGAATGGAACGTTATAAAGGCACATATTTTGGTGTGATGGTCAGGTGTCCACAAACTTTTGGCCACACAGCGTATTTCTGTGTATGTTATTCTGTCAAACATGTTAGGCACAAGTCAGATAGTGGTAGCACACTAGCTAATACACAATAAATACAAGTTACACCCCAAGGTCTCACTGTCGCCTGGTATAACTGAATTTCAAATACAAATATTAAGAGAAACACACAAACACCTCTCTCTATCATGACTCCTCAACTGGGTTACATACTCCATGAGAATAAATCAACTGACCAACATTCACTAGCTTCCAAATTAAAGAACAAATAAATGCCTTATTTCCTTTTTCGTCTTAACATTGGACTCTTTCACTCTCTGAGTCCTGTTTGTTTCTTCTCTTATGCGTTCTGATTTTCTCTCCCCTAATCAAACTTCTTTCATGCCTAAAGTTGGGCTGTGATGATGTCTGACATATTCAAGCTGGTGTATGATGGATATGCACACATTTTTCTGCCTATTCCAATTTGACACCCCTGACACAGCACTGACTGTGATTTACTTTTACAGGATTGTCAGTGCGTCTCATAGCAGTTCAAAAACATCATATTATAATGTGTTTTTACCCCTGACACGACAGTCTTTTTTTTTTTTTTAATTTTAAACAAAAAAAAAATCCTACATGCTGTAGCTTTAATAGACACATTCACAGTTCTATGAGACCAGTCACAGTATATTTAATACACTCTCGTCTGAATGAGGGTCAGTTTTCAAGGTGAAACCGGTTTAAATTTCTAGTCCTCTCTTCTTTGCTTTTCATGCTCAATCTTTGCACTTGTGCTGTACCTCCATGGTGCCATTTGAAAAACATGGGTTTATCATATAAACACCAAGCTTACAGTGCCACTAGAAAGTTTGTTGAACCCTTTACAATTTTCTGTATTTCTGCATAAATTTGACCTGAAATGTTATCAGGTTACAAAAACATTTCTAAAGAGTTTGGCCTCCACCAATCCAATGTCAGGCAGCTGATATACAAATGGAGGAAATTCAGCACCACTGTTACTCTCCCAAGGAGTGGTCATCCAGGAAAAATCTCTCCAAGGGCACGGTGAATAATATTACGGGAAGTCACAAAGTACCTAGGGTAACATCTAAGGACCTACAGGCCACTGTTGCATTGGGTAATATCAATGTTCATGAGTCCACATCAGGCAACACTGAACAAGAACGGTGTGCATGGCAAGATAGCGAGGAGGAAGCCACTACTCTCCAAAAAGAACACTGCTGCCTGTCTGAAGTTTGCTCAAGACCACCTGGAAAAACCAGAAGCCTGTTGGAAGACTGTTCTGTGGACAGATGAATCCAAAATAGAACTTTTTGTTTTAAATGAAAAGCATTATGTTCGGTGAAAACCAAACACTGCATTCCAACTTAAAAACCCAATCCCAACAGTGAAGCATGGAGGTGACAGTATCATGGTTTGGGGCTGCTTTGCTGCCTCGGGTCCAGGACAGCTTGCCATTATTGATGGACCTATGAATTCTGGATTGTACCAGCAAATTCTACAGGAGAATGTCAGGGTATCTGTCCCTGAGCCTGAAGCTTAACCGTAAATGGGTCATGCAACAAGACAATAACCCTAAGCACACAAGTAAGTTTACAAAGAAATGGTTAAAGTAGAAGAATTTTAACATTGTGGAAAGTCCAAGTCAATGTCCAGATCTTAGCCCAACAGAAATATTGTGGGAGGACCTAAAAAGAGCAGTTCATGCAAGGAAGCCCACCAAAATCACTGAGTTGAAGCAGTTTTGTAAGAAGGAATGGGCCAAAATTCCTCCAACTCATTGTGCAGGATTGATCACCAGTTACCAGAAACATCTGGTTGAAGTATATTGAAAGAAGAGGCTTTTCATCTGGCACACCTTCCAAATAGTTGGTTTGCATGGAGGTTGTGTCTAATTATAGATTATTTACTGTAATAATACGTTGTAAGTAAATAAAAGGACTTAAAAAAGACAATTAAAAAAATAAAAGGACAAAAAGATAACAAAATGTGTGTGTATGTGTGTGTTATTGTGTACTGATAAAGATGTAGCCACATTTTTATTTGATCATTTATAAATAAATGCTAAATTTTACTCAGTACATACTTGATTCATTATAAAACTAAGGAAATTTTCCTATCTGAATAGATAGTCTGTAAGCTCTTTGCTTAATGTTTCTTTTTAAAATTTCATTGGAATAACCCTAAAAATAACAACAGTGTCTTTGTTTAAAATTCTCCAACAAATTTGCTTTTCTTCAAAAAGCAAAACTCTGCCAAATGGTCTCTGAAACCTCATGTCTCATTGCAAAATATATCAAACGAATTTAATATTCCCTCAATCTGCTGCTTTCGGACTGTGGGTTACATAACATTAGAATTACACAACCACCATCCTTCACTAGACAACACACACTGCAGGACCAGATAAGCTGGTGCACTCACACGCAGCAGTACAGCAGGGGATTTATCCCTCAGCATGTCTGTAACTGGATTCAGGTTGAACTGCAGAGATACTGCAGAAAGATGGGGTTTATTTCTTTAGATTAAAAGGCTAAACCAGGGTAAGTTTGGTGTTTGGCTGCCTTCTGGTATGATGTGTTTCAGATGTCTTTGCAAGCTCTCTGAAATGACTCGGAAGATACTTGCCGCCTCTCTGCTTCCTACACAATGTTACCATGGAGACTGAAGTTTCAATTTCTCTATTTAGTCCGAAAAGATCTAAAAACAACAACAAAAATGGATCAAAAGTTTGTGTCTGACACTATTCATGTGTTCATTTTAGCAGCTGCAGAAAACACAGATGGAGTTAGCACTTTAAAATTTGGTGCAAATAAATTCTCAGATTATTATAATGCAAAATAAGTATTCATTAAACCTTTATTACTAAGTTTACTAAAGCACTGGCATTTGGCATACACTTGGCATTATTAACCATAATGCATCGAAGAGGTCGGGTGGGTTAGGAATCATGATACAATTCTCTATAGCAGATTTCAAAGTGGAGGATTTTGGATCTCCTCAATAAGCAACGTTCTAGCTAATGTATAAGTCTAATTGTACACTGCCTTATTACTTGTTGGCATCATCTTTAGTGTAATGGAAGATTGAGGCTGATGAATCTATTTTGGTTCCCTGGCCAGGAATCGAACCCAGGCAAGCGGCGGTAAGAGCACCGAGGCCTAAACACTAGTCCTCCAGGAACCCACTGTAGACCTATAGGTGAAAGGAAAAAATGGCTCTTAAGGTCTTAAGTCTTAAAAGGCAGAATAGTTATATTGATCCATGCATAGAGTTATACTGATCCATGCACAGAGTTATATTGATCCATGCACAGAGTTATATTGATCCATGCATAGATGTTTATGAAATGTTATAACTCATTACTGCATACAACATTAAATCTTCCTGGCTTGCAGCAAATCCTATGATGAATGATGATGTAACAATCTAAACGGTGACACTCAGGCTCATTTAGTAAAGTTCAGTGACCAGATCAGTGCTGTTCAGTCTCAGAATGGCAAAGCTGCTTTTATGGGACACAAATGTGCAAATGAGTGATTGCCGAGTTTTGGCCCATATTTACAACTTTCACCTGGCCAACTCAACACCACGGATTATCAACTAAATAAATAGGTTTTAATTACAACTAGAAAGAATTTACTCAAGGATATTTTCTTACATTTTAAACCTTTACTTTTGAAAATTGCATAATTATTTACATATTTAAGAGGAAAATTTTTAGAACCTCAGCCACCCTATCAATATAAACCATGCTGCTAATTATGGGACATTAGCCACTTCAGCTGGTGACTGACAATGGTTTATTTTGGTTATTAGAAAATGCTATTGCATTAAATTATAATCGCATTTGCTTTTCTCACCAATGTTTCCTCTTTACATTAAAAAGGTACATCTCTTTTGGCAGTCAAACAACACTTCAATTCAAACAACACTTGGTAGGTTACATCAGTATTTTCCTCAAAGAGTATTTAAACAGGTATGGTCACACAATTAATTTTATATAAATTCTAGACTAATTTTCTAATTATATTTTTGACAGAGAATAATTTTACACAAATTTACCCCTGTGATCAGTAAAATTGGTATTTTGTGAGGGGGATGCAGAAAATCCTTTCATTTTTGGGATGTCCTGTAAAATGCTGATGGCTAATTACCATACTGTAAAGATTGTTGAAAAAATGGTGAAGCTTCTCAATCTAAAGTTTAAACTTTTTATCAAGTCTTTTCCCATTTTTTTAATTTCTCACCTGAAAAAAATCTTTAAAAAAACAAAACAAAACACTTGACCAACATGGTTGTGTGACGAATATCATAATTCAGACTGCTCAGCTAGACATCCAGGACTTGCTAACATTCTGCACTTTTTCTCTGTTTTGTTAATTCATTAATCAGGAATTTGTGTGTTTGTGTGTGTGTGTGTGTGTGTGAGAGAGAGAGACAGAGAGAGACAGACTGTCGTTTGTATTAATGTGTATAAATAGGGAGAGAATTAGAAAGTTCCCTAGCACTCCCAAAAGGCTGCTGTAGTACTGTGTTACCGTAACTGTTGGAAAATGGGCCAAAGTGTGTGTGTCTGTCTGTGTGTGTATCCCAGGTGACAAAAGTAGTAGTCAGGCAACTGCCAGAAACGCTGTGTATATGGGCCAGTGTGTGTGTAAGAGAGAGAAACTAGTTATATAGGCCAGCAGTGGAAATACATGATGGTATAGCCATTGTCATGGATATTCCTGTAGTTACCATGCCAATGCACTTCTAATATTATAGGAAGTAACAACTGGGTCATCAAACCTACCTAATTTTGACATAATAATTTATTAAAAAGTACTATAATACTTATACAAAGGAAAAATTAGAAGCTCTGTTGTGCTGTAGGGGACATTTTGCCAGCATGGTATGGGTACACTTATCCTCTTGGAAGGAAGGGTCACTTCAAATCAATACAAAGTTCTTCTGACTGATCATCCACATACCTCGAGGGCTCACTGAATGATAATCAACAAGCTCTTAAGTTTAAAATTAGGTGTGTAAGAGCAGGAAAACCACTAAAATGTAGTCCACAGTAACTGCAAGCGAACAATTCAGATATTAAACTTATATAACTAAAACAAAACTTCTACAAGCTGGGATTAGTTTTCCCTGTTTCACATCGATTCAGGCACCACTAAGGTTACTGCTGTTTCTAAAGAATACATGAGTGGGCAAACATCAAGAATAAATCACTAACAATGAAATTTTATGAAGTCTATAATGCTGAATATGAGTGTAAGTAAGCACACAATTGTCTAGGATGTCTTTGTATGCTGTAACATTAAGATTTTCCTACACTGGAACTAACGAGCCCAAACAAGTTCCAGCATGAACAATGCCCCTGTGCACGAAGCAAGGTCCATGAAGACAGTTTGTAAAGTTTGATGTGGAAGAACTCAAGTGGCCTGCAAAGAGTCCTGACTGCAACCTCACTGAACACTTTTGAGATGAACTGGAATGCCGACTGCACCCCAGGCCTCCTCGCCCAACATCAGTGCCTGACCTCACTAATGCTCTTGTGTCTGTATGAAAAAACCCCACAGCCACGATCCTAAATCTAGTGGAAAGCCTTCTCAGAAGAGTGGAGGTTATTATAACAACAGAGGGGGGACTAAATCTGGAATGGGATGTTCAAAAAGCACATATGGGTGTGATGGTAAGGTGTCTGCAAACTTTTGGCCATAGATTGCATCTTTTGGAAGAATGGTGTCCATCCATCCAGTTTCATAGACTTGCAGAATCTATGTCAAGGGACATTGAAGCAACTCCATTGGCTTCTCCTAAGCGCACTGTTTTTCACAAGACTATATGCTAGCATACTTTAAGATCTGGTGTATGGTAGCATTTTGGCTTCCCGGTAAATTACAGTGCTGACTGCCAGTGAGTTGTGGATCAAAATGTTAGTGTGCCAAATATAAGTACAGTATATTGGCACTAATTACGGTGCTTCAGACACACCCCCTCATGTCGCACCACTTAAAGCCAAAGCGCTAATGTTTAATTAGCCATGTTTAGTTTTGTTACATTCTAATGCACAGCTTTTGTTTCATTATATGCTGCTAAAATTCTGAACGGATCACACAAATAATGTGTCATTACAAAGTTTAAATTATTGTACTTTTATAATGCTGAATGTTTTTAATCAACTGAAAATGGAAACCTAAGACACGTATTATTTTTGCTTGCTGAACATGAACATTTCTCATTACTTCTGAAAAACAATGACTCAGGTATTAGATATGAGCTCAGTTACAATTTAGTATTTCTCATAGATTGATTTTAATGGTTTAGTATACATGTTCATGAGCACACACATACACAATTGCAGACATACATCAGTGTCATTTTCTCAGTTAATATGTGTGTTCTATATGTTATTCAGCATCGGTCCTACTGCCTTCGCTAAATACTAACATTTTCCTTGTATATTATATATGTATTACATGATATTTTACATCTTGTTTGAGAAATCTGACGAAATTCCATTAGGTTTTGCTAACTGGTGAAATAGAAACAGGTCAGGACAGGGGAATTTTAGACCATACTATGTATAGTTCACTTTAAAACTGAGTGTTAAATTACTGAGTGTGACCAAACCTGCAGACTGGTCAGCAGTTGTAAAGCCCAGAAAGACATTCTCAATTAGTAGCTGCAATTTAAATAGACAAACACAGCACTTATATCAGTAGATAGGTTATCTAAAAAACAAAGCTTAAATGGTGTCTGTATGGTGTTTTGTGCTGTAGTAAGTGTGGCAGAACAATAAATATTGTGCTGGTCATCTTACAAGACCAGAGACACAGCGACATACAGACAGATGAAAGTTCTGAGAATCTGAACTCCATATTAGGAGCAAGTAAATAAATACAATTTTAAGTGACCAAGCAAGGGTCCTAGACACACACCCACAGCTCCACATGCATACACACTCACACAGTCTCAAGTCTTTGAGACCTTCTTCTAAACGATGATTTCTATGTCTATAACTGACACTCCGGCTGCAGTGGTCTTACAGACTGATCTGTGAACAGTGTGTGGGTAAGAAGAGTGGATGGAAATAATCCCAGGTACTCTCCTACACACTTTCACCTCCACCCTCTCTACTCCTCTTTCACCTCCACTCTCTCTACTCTCGTTCACTTTCACCTCCAGTCTCTCTACTTTTAGTCACTTTCAGCTCCACTCTCTCTTATACTGTCTCTTTATCTTCTGTCTTAACTCACTTCCTCTGTTTTCCTCCATCGGTAGGGCTTCTGGGATTTCCCCACTCTGTGACAGGATATAGAAGGTATTTTCCAACCCCACAGCCAGTACTAAACATGCTTGCTATGCTGACATGCATACAAAGCGCTACACACACACGCACACATGCACACACACGCACGCACACACACACACACACGCACACACACACAGTCAGACACACACAGACAGATGGGTTTTGAAGTATAGCAACCCAAGGGTTACTAAGTCAGGCATAAACTAACAAACACAAAACATCTGATGGAATTACAAACAGGAAAATAAAATGGCCACTGAATTGAGAAATGATAGAAGGATTGTGTGTGTGTGTGTGTGTGTGTGTGTGTGTGTGTGTGTGTGCCAGTGAGTGTTTTTTCAGGCTTGAGAGACAGTTTAAGAAGTAATTTCAGACTGTGAGACTTGTTTGGTATTACAAATCAGTGCATCATGAGTATTTAAGACAAGACACTACACAAAGATACAAACATTTTTGTCATGCCCATCATTTTCAGATTTTTGGATATAACATCTCTTCAACTTCAATAACAAAAAACAGCAAAACTCAACAGAAAAGTGTTAATTTCACTGTTTTTGTCCACTTATCTGAAACATAGAAACATTTCACTCTGCCTAGTTGGCACATCATGGCATATATTCCTGAAAAGCTGATTTCCTGACAATGTATCTGTGGTTATGAGCTACATCGATCGGCCATAAGATTAAACCCACTGACAGGTGATGTGAATAACACTGATTATCTCAACTGAACAGTCAGTTCTCGAAGTTGACGTGTTGGAAGCAGGAAAAATGAGCACACGTAAGCATCTGAGCAATTATGACAAGGGCCAAATTGTGATGGCTAGACAACTGGGTCAGAGCATCTCCAAACCTGCAGGTCTTGTGGGGTGTTC